CTTAATACTTGATTGGGAGATACAAGCGATAACTAGTTTACCTAATCTAAATGAGGGAGGCGAATTCGAAATCGGATATAGAGGAGGGGCATTGCTCTATACAACTCGGCTAAGCCTATATGCCGTAACTACTTAATAATGGACAGCCAAACAAATGGGTTATAGGAATTGTTGCGCAGCATTAATGCAGAACGCTGAGTCGGAGAGAAAGAAAGGGGAGCGGGATCTGGTGATCGAGCGTAGCTGTCAATGTGGCTGTAAGTGCGTCTTAGGTTGGGTAGCATAATTATTAGTAATCATAGGTTTCCCGAGTCCCTTAATCTTAATACTTTATTGAAAAAGTTTACTTTGGCGTCCATATGGAAATGCATGGTTTAAATAACGACCACATGATAAAATTTATCTAACCCATCCGAACAAATATATCGAAATTAGATAGAATTAAAAAAGAACGAAATAAGAAATGGGGTCCACTAAACTAAACTTGTGATAAATTATTGGATAAAGAAATATACACAAAGTAATTTGTAAAGAAAACGATAAAGTATAGTCACGTGTTGTATTAGGTTAGCAACAAACATGAAATAATATAGGATGATTTTTAAGTTGTCACAGTAGAGGAGTTTTACATGACGGCGGCATACTGTAACATACAAATAAAAAAAAGTAGCTCATAATCTTGATCCGACACTTCTTGTGGTAGGCAATCCAAGACTCATGTAAATGTTCAACGAAAGCAAAAGCCGCATGGTTGGAACCACAAAAAATCTTCAGATTTTAAAATGGCCTAAAGTTTGTCAAGTGGAGACAGATTCACCGCCCCATGTCCAGATATTGTAGTTTAGCGTCATGTTAACATCCAATACCTCTCTAGAATTTGTTTAATTTGCGTGTAAGATGTAACGATCATGTCAGAGATATTGTTACAAAGTTTATCCAAATTATAACCGTCTGTTATTAAAAATCAAAACTGTAAATTTAAATTGATGAATCTTAAACCATATCACAAGTGTTAGAAAATGGTGTGAATGTGGAATAGAAGGTTGCAAAGAGTAACACACAATCATCATACAGGTCTTTAGTTTGTGTATTCTATTTCTTGTTTATACAAATAGAAGTGTACAAGGAGTACCAGCAAATCGTATGCAAACGTAGTACGTGACTATTTCGTTTTTCTTGTCTAAACAGGACCAGTGGACCGTAGGTAGGAGATTATCCCGCGGAAATGCCCATGCATGGATTGGAGTACCAACGTTTCAGCAAGAGTAAACAGCTTTGCGAGGCAAGCATAGATTTTCTCGGTGCAACCATATTCAACTCTTATGTCAGATCTGTATTCATCTCCTTGCCACTCGGGGGGTGGACCGTCCCATGGTATTTTCAACACAACGGGCTAGCGCGCTGGGTGGTCCAATGGAGATAACCGGTTCTATCGAACGATAGGGTTATATCATAAAAACAGTTATGCATAATATGTACAGACTATCAACTTATACGATCTAAGTTTATGATCGATAGTTTGAGGAACATGATTTGATTGCCTAAGGGTTTTGGTTTCCTTCGATATAGTTAACAAGGTCCAACTCGTGTGTTGTCTTTCAAGTAGACGGATGGCTGATGTCTTTGTGGTTCCAAGAGGCATGGAGAAGATCATTGACTATGTTACGCAAGAAGATTCAATAACTGCCCAGTTTGTGACGGAAAATGGAGGGATGGCGACAAAATTGTTTATTCATTGATTGTACCAGATCATATATCGAAAATTACCCTTTTTTGGTTCAACTATGTGTGGCAGGAGCATTTCACCCACAAATACAAAAACAAGAGAATGACCTAGAAGACAGGGCCGGATCAAAATTCACAAATTACCTTGCTCTTAGCAGAGCAATAAGGTTTGGACAAACATTAATGGCGTCTATCGATACTTCCCATAAGAATTGATCGATAGAATATAAAAGTGGAATTAAATTTTTCTCCTTGTAATTGACGCCGTGGTGATGAGTTCGTGTTACTTAGTTTGGTCCGTGATGGATAATTTGAATGGCCAATTGGCCACACACACCCCCAAAGCATCTGGTGCCTCAATGTTTATGATCCCGACTGGGGGAACATCATTGAGCGAATCCAAGCTTCGCAGGATGGCTTGCTAGTCTCATGAAACAATACTTACAACAACGACACTGAAGAAACGTAGCTTAGCTTCAGTCGTATACCCAAAAATAAAGTAAAGCCAAAGGAAACTGAAGTTGATGAAATGGTTTATATCCACACATCACTTCCATTGTGGCATGTTGCTCTCTTTTATTTGGAGGGCATGATCGCATACTGAATGGTCTAGTAGGGTCCAAAGTTCTGATTTCATGAGGAATTGCGTTTTTTTTTGTTCTTTTTTTTTTCTATTAAACAATTGGTGAGGCATCACAACAAAAAATATGGCCAATAGCCACTATCTCTTTCATCAAGGCCATTGTTTTTCTTAATTATTTTGAAGTTATTTCATTAATACTCTAAAGGGGGTCCTAAATCCCCCCCCCCCTGAAACGATGCACTTAGATCTATTGCAAGTTTAGGTTTTAAGATTCAACAATCAACATGGTTTTCCGCTAACAAAATTAACGAAAGTCTTATGAGCGACAAACGCAAAATATCTTTTTGGAAGGAGCATGATGATGCCAGTGCTGCTATCCACAGTGACGATGAGGTGGACGAGCTTGAGTTGTAAAGCGGTTATCAAGTCACACACTCGTTTAAACTGGTCGCGGCCTCTGAGACAGACCAAACTCAATTAGAACAAGTATTTGAAGTTATATACATAGGGATTAGCTATTCTATTTCAGCATTGGAAGTCTGAATATAATTAAAAGAGTAGACATCGTCATACGGTCCTTGGTGATGAGTTGAATTACTAATCAGTATGTAATGGAGAAGTCATATTCTAGAATTCCACCAACTAAATCTCATTAAAGATAGGATAGGCACTGCCTGTCAAGCACAAATAAAAAAGTTCTAAGCTATTGAGATAGAGTGTCTACATAGTTGTAAAAGAGGGTGGAGACGTTACTGGAAACAATGGGTTATTTGGAGGATTGTGTGTATTATGTTTGTATTCTGTAAGAGGTTAATAAGAAAATGATGATGATGATGATATAAGGATGAGGGAGTGACGACAGATAAAGATGATAAATGACGGTGGCAACAATGATGATGCGGGACGATGGGAGGTCACGAGGAAGAGATTGAGATGATGATATGAAAGACAATGACAATGGTGATGAGATGAGGACTAGATGACAGGTGAATAGCGCCTTGATAATACTAATGAAGATGTTTCTTACTTAATTCATATTTGAGGACAAGCATCAGAGTAACAAGGCGTTGATCCAAAGGATGACAATTTATTACTCTTAGCAAATTATACATCTTGTAGAGATAGATGTTATTTATACCAGATTTTTAGAAATTGAGCCCTTTCCCCAAGTAGAAATGTCAATATGATCCCAAACGAACTTGGTTAACTACAAAGTGAGGTAGAGAAAGATGGGATGTGCTTAAGAATTGTTCTTGCAAATATAGGCTAGACAAAGTTGGTAGAGTAGGACGTATCGCCAATCTCACACGAGTTCGAACTCCTTACATCCATAGTTATAGCTGTATAAAAGAAGTTCGTAGTTCTTCGTTTATATTATGTTTTGGATCTGAATTCTAGTCCTATAATATACAGTTTTTCTTTTAGTTCGGCTTGCTCTATGGTAATATATCGACTTGGCTAACTTATTAAAGGTTTTGAATCGTTATTAAGCATGGTGAACGTGTTAGAAAAAGTAAAAGTGAATTTTATTGATAGTAAGAAAAGGCCAAATAGGCCGAATAAGAAAAAGCTCAAACCTAAGAGCCCATTCCTAGAAACCTGAATATCAGGGGAAGATGGGAATCGAAGATATGCAGTAACCCAAAGTGAAATTTCACGCACATTACCATGATATTTGGGCGAAGCGTCAACCAACTGTGAGGTGAAAAATAACACAAAATGACAAGATAAAAAAGAATAAAAACACCAACAAGAGACCCAAGATTGATACTGATTCGCAATGGCCTATAATCCGTTTAAGATGGTGAGAGTAATCAACATAATCAAATGAGTAGATACAATTCAGTGTTAACACTAAGAAACCACGCCAATACACCCAAACTCACCCATCAAGAATAGAACAGGATTAAATGAGTACAATTAGAGAATAGGAAAAAAACCAAGACAGAAACAAAAGCTTTGCTGTAGCTATCTTTTTCGCGATCACTTCTTGCTGTCCACTTATCTCTGCTTCCTGTATCGAAGGGGCTGCTTTCTCCTTTAAATCCAAAAGAGGGGCTCTTCAATAGAGCCAACGGGTAGTTAGGGTAAAAAGTAAGAATAATTTATTGTAAAAATCATATATAAAATAAAAAAAAATTAGCTATTCAGTACCACACCCGCCCCACTTTGCGGACTCCTAAATTAACTACCCTCAACTGCAAGCATGCATGGGTAAGGTCTTGGCCCATGCCAGGAAGAGTGCAGTAGAAGAATGAAAACAGAGGCATGGTGCTTGCACGTTAGATTTGCATATAGGACCAAAAACAGCATTAGCCGGGTTGGAGCAGTCTTTCTTTTGGGACCGTTACATGACAGGCACAGGGACAAGTAGACGACTAGTTCGCACTGACTAGCGCCAACTAACTTTGTGGATAGTATTCGGTTGTCTAATCAAAGGCCAGGGACTTGGACAGCGTTCCATCGTGTAGGAAGACAAACGTTCTGATTTTTCCCTACAGCTAGTCAGTTTGTCGTGATAATGACTGAGAGTTAGCAATGGTGGCATTTCCCAATTCTAGGTAAGTGCGGTTGAAATTTCCCACTTCAATTCCACACAGTACCCTCGCAGGCTCTATGTTGGCGTCGTGTCAAATAGAATTGTTTGTGGTGGAGAAATCAAGCACCCAAGTGATACATGCTTGCGCGCTAATCACAATGTTGGGACAAATATGGACTTCTTCAAAAACATGATCTTGTGATCCCTCCCAAACCCGTTTTTGCATGTCAGCGTAGCAGTCTCAACTCCTTCATCAACTTCCTCTTCATTTCTCTTCCTCCGAAGATAATCAGCACTCTCTTCTTCTCCATGAAATGTATCGCACAGTTTACGTGTCATAAAACCCTGCAGATAAATGGTCCGCAACGCGATGTGAGACTATAAAGCAGGGTTGTTGCATCGAGACATGGGATTAACCTTTCGGCTGACGCGGTTCTTGCAAAGCTGCCCCCCCCCGGAAATATGCACTGTACACCCATGAATCCTGGTTTTTCCGCTAGGTGGCATCGATCAACACAAAATCCAATAAATCCCAACTGAATCACAATTCACGAACATCCGCTTGCTTGAGTACCAAAGAAAACTAGCTGATTGCACACAGTTTTGCTTACAGCCTTTATCAATCAACCTCGGACACTAGGGACAAGAGGGCCAGCGAAAAACGCTCGCGTAACAATTGTAACCAAAAATCAAAGGAATCAAAACAACATGGAAAGCAAAGAACGAAAAGCTCACATGAAACGGATGGGGAAGAAAGAAGAAGTAGAACGTACGACCAAGAGAATGGTATACGCCCTAGTAAGAAGACGACGGTATAGTATCTTCGTCCCGCTTTGAGCTCGCCGTCGAAGAAGACAGGGTTTATCGAGGTCATCGCTCTAAGCTTCTGGTCCGACCGTCAAAGAAGCGGTACGATCTCTGGTCTCTTGGTCTCCAGTGAGTTTCTTTTTTTTTTGTCGTTGTTTTTTTCGATCTTCGCCTTTAGAAGTTGTTTTTAACAAAAAACTCCCGTTAAAAAAAGTTTTTTCGAATAGGCTTTTCCTGGCCTCGGTTCAAGTAGTAGGGTTATCTCGAACCCAACGCACCCGGACGAGGAGAATCAGCTGCGGTGGCGGCCGGGGCCTGAGCGGGGGGTCTGGGTGAGCTTACGTTTTACTTGTCTGGTTTTTTATAACGGCCATGTGTGGTGGGTCTTTTGTTCGTTCAATCATTTTTTTTTTTTTTTTTTTTTTTTTTTTTTTTTTTTTTTTTTTTTTTTTTTTTTTTTTTTTTTTTTTTTTTTTTTTTTTTTTTTTTTTTTTTTTTTTTTTTTTTTTTTTTTTTTTTTTTTTTTTTTTTTTTTTTTTTTTTTTTTTTTTTTTTTTTTTTTTTTTTTTTTTTTTTTTTTTTTTTTTTTTTTTTTTTTTTTTTTTTTTTTTTTTTTTTTTTTTTTTTTTTTTTTTTTTTTTTTTTTTTTTTTTTTTTTTTTTTTTTTTTTTTTTTTTTTTTTTTTTTTTTTTTTTTTTTTTTTTTTTTTTTTTTTTTTTTTTTTTTTTTTTTTTTTTTTTTTTTTTTTTTTTTTTTTTTTTTTTTTTTTTTTTTTTTTTTTTTTTTTTTTTTGCGGCAGCGACTGATAATCATGATTAACTACATAATGAAATTGGTACTTAGGTGACGAGGGGTAAATTTAATCACACAAACAAGACACAACAACACAGCAATCTTCACACACTTTAAACCTTGACCAAATACACATATGACTAGTCAACTGCTAGTCATGAACAATCACAATCAATAGAACACACAGAGCATGCCACAATGTACCTGCAACCCTAGAAGATTACTAGTGACAACCTAGGCACTCAGAAGGACCCGTCAATCTAGGCATCCCCTGTGCTAGCAACAACTATGGTGAAAGTGTGTGAAATTATCATTATCATGTAAACATCAAACAGCAGATAAAGATGACTAGTCAACCGCGAGAACCCAGATGACTAGTCAACTATCAAGAACACAAACCCAGAAAATTTACAGATATGCAAACCAGAATTTGTTCACCCAGAAACCCACCATTGGGAAAAACTGGGGGTCATCAACCGACCAGGCAATCCACTAAGTAGAAAAAGATTCTTACAAAGAACACTAGCAAGCTCAAGAAATTCCTAGGTCTATTTAGGAAGATGAGCTATACCTCCTTTGTGCAATCTTCTTCTCCAACTTAGCGAAGCTTGAAGCTCAGTTCTTCATGGCAATGGCAGCTCCTTCTCCAGCTCGTTCATCTCATGGCACTAGCTTGCAAGCTCCAACACAAACCGAAACCAAAATTTGGATTCAAATGAGAAAGACCAATTTCTTCAAGAAACCATACTCTTGAAGAAATCAGTCTTGAATTTGACCTAGATATAAATGAGAGATGATTTAAGTAGCTAGATGCATATTCGGGTTTCAAAAGCAGTTTTTCAAAAAGATATCAATTGGAAAAACTCATATATGAAATAAGATGGTTCTCTCGAGGAAGAAGAAGCGAAAGATGGCAAGCCAAACTTTCCAAAACCCAAAAGAGACAACGCCCAAATGACCAAAAACGTAGCCTTTACAGCCAAAAAATTCCTTAGGTCAAAAACACAGATGGCAGCAGAGAGAGAGAAAAGGAATAGGACAAAACAGTTTGTTATCCAGCTGGAAATCCTACAAAGCAAGGATGACTAGTCATCTGAGAAACGGATGACTAGTCATCATTTTTATGAAGACTGTTTTATGAAATGATATGCAATGCACAATACCTTTGTCAAATTGCTAGAACCTCCATACAACAGAAGTTAGAGAAGAGCACCAAGAAAGGTTTTCCTTAATCTAAACTTGAGCTTGATAAATAACAACACACATTGTATTATAAAGTTGTCAGGGAAGCCAAAAGAAAATAGTAAAAACCATACATTAACACATAATCTCAATGATTTTCAATCTAAAGACTCTAAAGCCAAAAATATAGACAACGAATAAAAAGAAACCATGCAACAAACAGAAAATAAGAAAGCCCCTAGGATTGCACCGAATCCTTGTGAACACACATATGATAAAATTTATGGATTTCCAAAGCCCTTACCTTATCATAGTCCTTGTTCATTGCTTCCCAAATCATTCTTTTAAACAGTACCGCCTGCTTGCTGTTAAGGTACCCAACAACCTACAAACCACAAGCATCATGCCTTCCTTGACAAAATTCCAAAAATAAAAAATTGAAGCACCAGTCATATACAAATCCAAATCAAAGACAGCACTTTACAGATAAGTCTAGACCAGGATCACTGCTTTTATCTTTCGTTAATTTTTACACTTTATTTTAAAACATAGAAAATGTGGTCGATTCTCATGATGAACCAAAAACAAAACTTTTCACAATAACCATGAAAGGAAATTCCAAGAGTATTGATATGTAGATTAAATTCAAATCATCATTGAGTAATTTGAGCATCTACTTTCTATTAATCAACTTGAGAAAAATGTGTAACCATGATTCAAACTCTAGAAAAGCAAGAGCAATATAACATCGGCTTTTTGTTAAAAATTTAAATTTAAATAAAAAATTGTACAGCCGCGCGGCTATACTCGGTTTTTATAATTTTTTATAGAATTAGTATAGCCGGTCGGCTTGACTGTGTTGACATGTGGCGCCTAGCACTAGCGGGTCCTTTTTTATCTAAAATATAGTATAGCCGCGCGGCTATACCCGGCTCTTTTTATTTTTTTTCAAAATATTGCCGCCACGCATCTATACTTAGAGCAAGTCCAGCGCCCAACCCAAACTGCGTGAAAGGTTGCCAGGGCAAGCCCGAGATGGCTCCAACGCAGGAGATGCAACCCAGTTTCGTGGTGGGTCCCACCAGCCCGAGGAAGCCCAAGGGCAAGTCTTGCTTGGGCTGAAGCCCGAGTCTGGTGACGTCAGCACTGACGTCACGCTGATGCCAACGCAAGGTAAATCAATTTTTTTTACTGTTGGCGTGTGAATTACACGTGCCAACGGTAAAAAAATTTGATTTCCGCGCGCTGACGTTAGCGGGACGTGAGCGCTGGCAGACTCCAACGGTAAAGTGCCACGTGTCGCGACAGGGGCGCTTTGATCCTTTTTTTCCAGAAATCCGACGATCCTCTTTTTTGGCTAAAAAAATTGCAAAAAAAAATCGAAAAAATTCTGAAAAATTCTGAATTTTTTTAAAAAAAATACCGAATATTTTTATATTTTTTCCATATAAATACCTAACCATTTATTCACTTTCCACACCAAATTTTCTACTACAAAATTTCATTTGTGCAAAAATACAAATGTCATCTTCCATCGAAGCCGGAGGGTCATGGTCAAATGTTCGAAGAGGTCAAAATCTTGGCAAAGAGGTAAAAAAATAATAATAATTTCCGTTTTATTCAATTTAATGTCTTTATATATATATATATATATATATATATATTTCTTGCATTTCCAATTTCTTTTTTTTAATAGATTAGTCAAGGCAAAACAAAAAAGAGGAAAACCATTACACATGGCTCCTCAAGTGAACATTGCCCGCAGTTAGTTCCAGTGGTGCGTTCCGTGTCAGAAATAATGGCACTATTACGTCCTCCGAACGAAAATACTCCCTCACGTCGTGATCCGGTGGAACCGCCTCCGCCAATGATGGAGTTGTCCTTGTATTCCATTGTGTCGGACTATGAGGACCAAGAATATTTCAATTGTATAATGAGTGAGTTGGTATTTCAATTGTATGATGAGTGAGATGTTAATTTTATAATAAATATGGACACGTGGTAACCAAAAATTTTATTTGAAAATTTTATCCGAAAAATGTTATCTTAAATTTTAAGTGAAAATTTTATAATAAATAGTGACACGTGACAACCGAAAATATAATCTAAAAAGCTTATCAAAATTAATGGTTTAAAGTATAAAAAAATAGGAAATAAAGTACAATGAATAGTAATTGCCTTAGACTTGCCCTAGACTTTGCCCTTCATGGGTCCACAAATGCAAAGGCTGACACTATTCACGTAAATAGTAGTAGCCCTTGCTTGCCCTTGCCTTAGACTTAGCCCTTGTGGGTGGAAGTGCTCTTATATTCACACGTGGGCGCCTATACGATTTTACTTTTTTTTAAATAGTATAGCCGTACGGCTATACTAGATTTTTTTTATTTTTTTTAAATAGTACAGCCGCGCGGCATTACTGGGTTTTCTTTTTCTAATTATTTTTAAAAATAGTATAGCCGAGCGGCTATACGTGGTTTTTTCTGTAGTATAGCCGAGCGGCTTTACTGTTTTGACAGATGGTCAAAGAAGAGGCGTCTTTCACCCAATAGCGAAGGGTTTGAACCAAGATTTCCAGATGAATAGGGTAGGGTATTAGTACATCTGATACGTAATTTAAATGTGGGAATTTGTCCTCTAAAAAAGGAAATATTGAGAGGACGCTTACCTAGCCAACATTTAGATCCGGCTCCCCAAGCAGGATTTTTAAATGCGTGATATTGCTCATA